TGAACATTTGTCAAAATTCTTACTTTTAGTAGTCCCGCCTTATCCACAAGGATACATTCTAAGATCCCCAGTGAATGTCTAAAAGTATCATACTGAATCCTACATATATATATATATATATATATATATATATACATATACACATACATTTTTTTTCTATACTTACATCCCTATGTGATAAAGCTTAATTTATAAATTGTGGTCAGAGTCACAACAATAACTTCATAATGAAATAGAAAAATTATACTAATATGCTCTAATAAAAAGTTGTTTAAAATTTATAAATTATTTATTTCAGAACATTCTATGTAATATTGTTGGACCATAGTTGACTATGGCTAACTGAAACTGTGGAAAATGAAACCTAGAATAAGAGAGACTACTGTGATTCATTGACTAATGAAGGAAACAGTAAGATGTTAAAACCAATTCAAAGGAAATTTTTTAAGATCATGTATATTTAGGTAAATAGGAATGCTAAAATGAATTTTGAAATAGATGCAAAATGGGTCTATCTGCAGAGTGACAATCAACTGTGTTCCAGGTAAACAGACTTAATCCACATTTTTACGAGCATGAATCATTTGTATTATCAGTGTTCTACAACTGTAAATGATAAAAATAGCCCAAAATCAATGAAAGGCTAAGATAACCAGAAGGATGCACTGAACAGGATAGCCAGTAATCTTTTGGGTCCATTTTAAAGTTTTTCACAATTTATTCCTCCTCTTTCCTCACTGTACTATCATGCCCCCCACTTTCATACATAAACATACACCAAAAGTAAAAAGAAATCATCAACCACTCTAGACTCACAGGTTCAAAAATTTAATAAGACTGAAAATTACCAAAGTCCAGTATTTCTAATCTGATTCCCTGCAAATCTTAATTTCCATTTTGAAACTAGAGCATGAGACTGAGACTGTCATGCATCAAAATAACACACCTGCTAAGCTATTCTGATTTTGTATAAAAATCCTGCCCCCAATTTTTTTTTCAAACAGATATATGGAAAAGCAAAAGGGAGGAAAGTAATGAGAGAAAAGAGGAAAGTTAATTGTTAATTACAGACCATGTATCAAGGAGCCTCCCGCTCTTGCTATTATCTGTGGTGACTTGAGACTAATTAACCAAGAGTACCTTGTTTCTATTTAGCATGTTTTAAAACATTTTTTCTAATTGTCAATGGATCTTTTATTTATTTATTTTTTATATGCAGTGCTGAGGATTGAACTCAGGGCCTCACACATGCCAGGCAAGCACTCTACCACTGAGTCACAATTATTTAGCATTTTTTAAACAAAGTAATTGATTTGTATCATTTCATTGAATGCTTCTGATTCCATAATAGCCACTAATAAACCACTTAGGAATTTTATAAGTGAATTTGATTGTTACTGTTTTCTGTTTCATAAATGGGACTATGGTAATGACTAAGTAAATCATAAGCTTTTTGTTTATGGAATGAATAATTAAGCTTGCAAATAGATGACCAGATAAAAACATAGATTATTCATTTGCCAGGTGTGTCTTTTTTTGTTAACTTCCTAGAGATGGGAAAACTAAATGTCAAAATCGTATCATCCCTTCTAATGCTTCTACCCATTTTTTAAAGAACTCACTTGACCAGTTTTTATTCATCTGGCAGTAAAACTGCTAGCAGAAAGAACTTTTAAATTACCCAAATTGAACTTCAGTAATAAGAGTCTTCTTATTGTATATTTTTACATCAAAATGATTAATATACTGATTTAAGAAAACAAAACAAAAATGATTGCATTCCATTTTATATGATCCACATTAAAGGTTCTAGCCCAGCAAGTGCTATTCAAGATGAGACTTCTGAAAGTTACATTTAAGCCTTCTAACTTGCCTGCCCTCTCACTGACCTTGCTCCCTCCCACTTGTGGGCAGAAAACTCAAGATAGTAAATAGAGAGTTGGGAGACCTAGGGACATGGGGGAAAGCTTTATAAGAAAAGCAGTTATTATTCATTTAGCCATTTGCACTATCAGATATTTTTCTTTTGAAATATAATCTCCTGCCTTCAACAAGAGAGAATATATTATATCATACAGTGTACGCACTAGAGAAATTAAGATGACTGCCAAAAGACAGCACCACTTAAAAACCAAATTGTTTTTAATTGGTGTGAACCTGACAAAGACCTACAGATAGTGGGTTGGGCAAAATGCCAGTGAAGCTGTTTTACATTTGATAAGACTCTCATTTGGGAAACATAAAGCAGATGTTTATTGTTTTTTTGCTTTAACCCTAAATGTCCACAAAGTCAAACTGCACACACACACATAGATACACACACAGGCATGTATATATTTTATATACACACACATATGTATGTACATGTGGAGTATATAAGATATATGTCTTAAATGCGTTGCTTTAAAATTAATATTTCATCTACTACAAGAAGTGCATGAGACTTCAGTAGCAGGTTTTTTTCTACTTTGTGTGCTTTTAGTGTATCATCCTGGTTATGGAAAGAGAGCAAATGCAAAAGCATTCATATTGTAGACAAGGGGAGCTGAGGGTGCAGTTTGCACATCAATATGCATTTTAGATTTCATCTGGGTTCTAGATTTAATCTGGGACTTACTTTGGAACATAAAGCACAAACAAATAAAGTTAATTACTTATAATTTTATAAACTTATATATATATAAAGAGATGAACCCTAAGACCTAAAACAAGTTTGGGGATTACCTATGAATCTCAATGTGTGTGGCATCCCTACCAAATGTTCTATTCTGTAGCAGGGAAACTACAACCCACAGACTTGATCCAGACCCTTCCATCATCCCTCCTGCCTGCCCCATTCTTATAAGTAAAGCTTTATTGGAAGTTAACCCCTACTCACTTGTGTGATTCTTTCATGCAACAGTCCTTGCAATGGAAACTGCATGGCCAAAATAATCGAAGTTATTTTTTGTATGGCTCTTTACAGGAAATGTTCGCTGACCCTTGTTCTATTGGTCATTGAAGAGGGCTATTAAAAGTAATAAAACAATATTTTTTATTGTTGGAAAAATTAATAAGGTGCAGTTCTTTTCTATATGAAAACAAAAGTTGGTACTACATTATTAAAGAAGCACTATTCCATACACTGTCATTAAAGTTGTCAGGCAAGTTACTCGTCTTATGTATGGAATAGCTAAATGTGGACCTTCGTGTCTACACCAGTGTTATAAAATTTAGTGCTCATGTATTTGTGTATTTCTTGTTCCAGGAAATCAGGCATATTCAGACTGAATGTGCAATAAGAGGTTTTTGTTGTTGTTGTTGTTTTGGCAGATAGACACAATACCTTTATTTGATTTATTTATTTTTATGTGGTGCTGAGGATTGAACCCAGAGCCTCACACATGCACTCTACCCTGAGCACAACCCCAACCCCTGCAAATAAAAGATTTAAAATGGTTTTCAGATTTTGATTTTATATTTTCAACAAGCTCCTACAGGTAGCATTACTTAAGGAGAAAAGACCTTTTAGTCTTTTAGGGTACTATTTCCCTGCCCCAAGTTCTCTACATACCAGAAGATATAGAAGTCAAAAACAGAAGGGGGAGGTGAAATTGTGATGACAATTTCTTAGGAACAGTTCTGGGTGGCCATCCCATCCTCACCCACCCTTCTGACAGGCCATGATAACCTTTGTTCTCTCCTAGTGGATTCCTCTTCAAAGGTAGCTGGGGTCAAGTCCTTCCTGAAAGGTCTCTTGCTGGGCCTCAGGGCAGCATGTATACTTTAGGAAAGGCTGGATCTCCCAGCCAGACCACCTCTGATGCACATAAAGCCCAGGCTTAGGCCAGCAAACATCTTTGTTATATCCTTTCCAGTATGAAAAGTTGCACCGGTTTGCTGTTTGAAGTTCAATTTTCCTGAACTAGATATAAACCATTTGCACTTGTTAGGATTTAATGCCGTAACTGTCTTATCAGTCTTTTCTTTTCGGCCAAAGTCAAGGTTAAGAAGCCAGGTTTGCATGCCTTCCCAGCATGACTCCCTGAGCAAAAGCATTAGAATCAGGGGGGAAAAAAAATTCCAAAGTTTTTTTCCTCCGATTATTTTACTAACTTTTTGGAAAAGTTAGCGATTCCCTCTGGGGTTTTTCCCCCCCGTAGGCCCCTCTCAAGGTCATTACAGTTATGGCCATGGTTGATTAATGGGGAGGAAAAACTTTTTTTTTTTTTAATTTGGATATTTTCCTACATTCTGGAGAAACTCAGAGAAAAACCAAATTCTTCCTGGTTGTAGCTTCTTTCAAGGTGGAGGGAGGAAGACGTTGAGTTGAACAAACTGATATGAATGCAGAACCTCTCATTTACTGACACATGCCTGTGGATTTAATTTGTAGCATGGCTTTTCACTATGATATAAAAAGAATTGGAGTTCAGACTAATTCAAAGAATGTGTGAGGAAGAAGACTGAACCATTCTTGGAAACTTACAAAAAAAACAAACCTCTTTTTTATAAATATAAATAAATCTTAAGAAGCACATTGAGTAAAAAGCAAAGAAAGTTACAGAATATGAGATCCAGGCTTAAAAAAAAAATCTTCCTTAAATATCTCCCAGGGCTTATTCTGTAATAGTTTTTAGTATCAGTACTAGTCTGCTTTAAGAATAGCCAGTATCATGCAAGAGGCACAAGTGTTGGGATTTAGAGCGAGGAAAGGAATCACCAATTCCCTGCTCTGAAGAGCTACCACTGTGGGTGCAGAGCAGTAAGCAGGTGGTCTGTGGCAGGAATGTCTTGCAGCTGGGAGTTCACATGACATGAAGCAAGCAATCCAGAATCAGTAGCCAATGAGCTCATGAACTAAACTGAAGCTCCCATCACAGGACAGGGTGGAGGAGCCCTGGGCACATCCTGAGCCAGCTCTGGGCAGCAGAAGCAGGTGCCATGCATCCCCTCACAAACCCAGCTCTCTACTGCCTCGCACTTCTTATCCTGTCCTCTTGTTTGCTTGTCGACTGCAGGTTCATCCCAGAGGCCTGGTCAGCCTGCACAGTCACTTGTGGTATGGGGACCCAGGTGCGAGTAGTCAAGTGCCAAGTGCTCCTGTCTTTCTCTCAGTCTGTGGCTGACCTGCCGGTGGATGAGTGCGAAGGGCCCAAGCCAGCATCCCAGCGTGCCTGTTATGCAGGACCGTGCAATGGGGAAATTCCTGAGTTTAACCTGGACTCCACAGATGGACTCTTGGGTGGCCTGCAGGATCTGGATGAGCTGTATGACTGGGAGTATGAAGGGTTCACCAAGTGCTCCGAGTCGTGTGGAGGAGGTAAGGAGAGAGCCCCTGGCTTAGAACCCCCCCCCACACACACACACACATCTTTTTTCTGTCTCTTCTCTCCCTGCATTCAACTGTGTCATGTGATTGCCTCTATATCAAGAATGATAAGCAGGGGCAGAAAGGGAGGCAGCCATTCTAAAGGTAAAGCAAGTGTAAATCGAACCAATAGATTTGATTTCTGTGTCTGCTGAGTGGCCCCAGGCTGTCAGCTGTGAGTGGCCAACAACTCACGCCTTTGCTTTCAGTTGTCATTCTGATGTTTTGTACTCAACATTGACTTGTTTATCTGAGCTCTTGCTTCCGTGTGTGTGTGTGTGTGTGTGTGTGTGTGTGTGTGCGCGTGTGTGCGTGCGGTGTGAATTAATACCCAAAGTACACCACCACACTCTGCTGTTCTCAAGAACAGGTTAGGGTCCTTACAATTTACTCAGCTGGTTTTCCAAAGAAAGGGAAAGGCAGTGTAAAGATTATCCAGCACAGTGCATACCTGGAGCTGGAAAAGATTTTAGTGATCAAAGCCAAACCCCACTCCATTGTGCAATGATATGCAAAAGAGCCAAGTGACTTGTTCAAGACCTCACAGCTAGTGAGTGACAGAGCTGGGACTAGGCCAAAGCTGCTGCTCTCTGTCTACAATCTTTACATGCTACCACACTTCAAGCATGTAGAGAATTCCTAAAGCTTTCTTATTATAAATATTATTCAACTAATGGCCATCATTTCCAAGTACATTCATCTGGTTCTCTTGGGTATACTCTATGGTGACATACAAGTAGCTTACATAGTGATTTTTTAAAATTACTTAATTAACCACTCATCTATGGGTACCTAGGTGTTTCAATGTATGTATACATTATAATATTACAATACATTGTAAATATTAAACCAAACTGATTAGCGTATCTCTTTAGTAATTTTTTGTTTCAGGTGTTATAAACAGGATTGTGACAGAAAATCAGTTCTTTAAGATCATGATCTTTCTCACCACTGTAGAAAATGCCTTAAATTCATATTATCACTCACTGTCTCACACCTACTCCCAAGAGAGATTTTTGATAGGTTAGGAAGTGCCACTGATGTCCTGTCATATCCCTCTTGCTGTCATCAGTAACCCCTTTGGACATGTTGAGGTTCCACATTCCCAGCAAATTTCTTCCTTTGCTGGTGAAATAAAGTATGCAAATTATTTCCCAAAACTGTTTTCTAAACCATGACATTTGAGAAACTCTTCTAAAGGAATGAATAATGGAATAAGTACCAGCAAAGAATCTATTTAATCCAGCAGGTCTTTTTAAACTTTTAGTAGTTCTGACCCTGAAGTTCTTGTTTGTTTCTGATCTTCCATTTTCCAACCCTGGAATTATAGAGTGATTTAATGGAAATCCCTGGTATCTTAAAACCTAAATTCTTCCAAATAATTCTGGGAGACAGTTTCTCGGAACTCAGCTGATCTGACTGTTTTCACGTGCCGTCCTTCCACTCATTTTCAGGACATTTTTTCTTCTATGCCTAATGAGAGAGTAGTGTGTTTTATAAGCTTTGGTGATCTGTGAGCCCCAGCAGAGCTGAGAGTCAGGGAGAAGAGCTGTGGCCCTGGCCCAAAGGAATGGCTGCAGTTGTTCCTTTCTACGCTGAGCAATGACTCAGAGTTCAGATGGTTGTGTTTTTAGCTCCAATTTCCAAGATCACCTGAATTGAATGATCATTATTTCTAGTAAAAAAACAAATGTGCTTTGGGAAAAAAAAAGTATTTATGGTCTCTCCGTTATGGCTCTCGGTTACAAGTCAAGCCTGGAACTTTATGAGCAGGTGGAAAAAATAGATGCAGTAATGGAATATATAAATAACCGGATGCCTTTATCTTTAAGAGTCAATCCATTCTACTGACCAACCAGGGGTTTAAAACTGAAAGTCCAGAGTGGAATGTATTAATTTTAAGTGCTTTCAGAAGAATTTGATTTAGAAATAAGATTCAAATGTTGGATACACAATTGATCTCTACCTGTAGGATCTGAGTGTCTTTGTATAACAAAAATTATATGTCCTTTACATCTAAGGAAGGGTAAAGTTACTAAAATTCCTTAGGTCTTTAACTGTCATCAATTGATCACACTTACCTACAGTTATATCACTGTGCCAAGGTAATATATTTACACCTGAAATGTTAAGAGTTGAAAATTCCAAAGTGGTGAAAATATACTTTGGTTATATGGTCTTATACTATGCCCATATGCATTAACAAATTAGTTCAATATATGGATCATGTATTTTCAAGTCATTGTTTGGCAGTAAGTTTTTATTGTATTATCAATTTTGATCTTTCACCAAAATATAACCCACAAGATTAAATATAGTCTTAAATCATTTTTGCTGAAATCAACCCTGTATAGGATTAACAAATAGATATTAAATCACTTTTGGGTTGTAGAGCCAGTCAGGCTAATCGTATTGTTTCTGTAATCTCAAAGAGATGAAATTGGCTAGACACAAAAGTCACCTTTCACCTAGAAGAAGTAGTAACCGGAAGGAACTAGTTAGTAATGTGTTTGCCAAGCTGTCATCAAATATCAAATATCATGTAACAATTATGCAGTTCTGGGGATATAAACACAGAAAATCCCATTTTCTGGAAAACTGAAAGTGAGCCTAACCTGCTCAAATCTGTCCTACTATTATCTCATTTTTTATATTTTAATTTCCCACAAGTGAATTGATAAGTGTGGTCAAGGACAGCAGTTTTGAAACTGAGCAGCTGAGTTGAACTCCTAGATGATGAAACTCAAATTTAAATCTAGCTGGGGGAAAACTTGAAACTGACTTTAGCAAAAGTGGAAGGTGAAGACTTGTACCTGTGGCTCCTTTTTCCTTTTGCTTGTCAAGAAAAGGAAAACCCAGGTGGTGTGCATGTACAAATATGTAACAACAAATCCCACCATCATGTACAACTATAACACACCAATAAAAAAAAAAGTGGAAGAAAAGGAGAGAAAAGAAGAAAGGAAGGAAAGCCCAGAGTTGTAAGGAACTGTACTTACACATGGGTTCTCTGTTCAGTTAAAAGTTTCCGTTGCAAGGCATATGTTAACCCTTCTGGAAAGAACACAAACTTAGTGAATTAACCTCTCCCATCCTTGCCTGTGTCTCCTATGCCAGGTAATGGGTGAACCCAAAGGTGAGCTCCTCTTTCCAGGGCAGCTCCTTTACTCCAGGCTCCTGTCCTCAAAGTTCCCATTTGCCTTAACAGTCTGCTTGCTTAGAATACCCTGCTCTTTACCCGTCATATTTTTTCATCCTACAAAAATTTACTATGTATTGATTTTAAAACAAAAAACTGGTCCCAGATACTCCTTAATTATGACAGAACTTCTGTCGTGGGTTTCCCCACACCTCAGGCCCCACCTAAGAATGCAGAGACAGCTGGCCCGTGGCAAGAGATTTAAAGCACAGTGTGGCAGGGGCCTAGTATATTGTTTTATAATACCTTGGATTAGAATTTAGTAACTCTGGAATGCTTCCTAATCTCAGCACTTAGCCACCCCATGGTGATCTTTATCTGGAACTATGATTAATGGTTGGCAATAATGTAGGTTTGTGTTTTACATAGCGAAGAGAGGAGATTACTAATGCCCTTTTAGAAACTTAGCTCTTACCCCCATCCCTTGCAGTCTTAGAAGAACCTAAATTCTATAGCTAAAGAGTCCATCAAGTGGATGGAAACAGCCCATCCCTCACACACTTCATTCCAATAGCAGGTACGTGACAAGCCCCATGGTCCCTTCCTGCCATGGCTGAAAAAAAATCAAACTATATCTTATTTTAGAGCAGCATTTCAAATTTCTTAAACACTACTAAGTAAGCAAATGAATGGAAAACTCCATTTTTAGCATAACCACAGCTCTAGATTCTGTATGGAATAGTAAGCTATATTCAGTGGCTGGTCATCATGACCTTGATGCCAAATGGATCCAGTGAGAAATCAGTGATGATATCAACAGTTTCTTGGGAGCTGTTTGCTGCATCATCATACCATGAATTCCAAATGGTTCAGTCACAGAAATCATCATACTGTCAGTATTACAGAATATGGTGGAGTAATTTGAATATCTAGTGCGAATCTCAAATTCTCCACCTTGAACAGGCCATCCCATAGGCAAATTAAATTTTTTTGAGGTGGGTGGTAGGCATCAAACCAGGATCCAATTAAATTTTGAAGCGATAAAAACTTAGAAGAAAGAAAATGCCAAGATCCCATAATGGCCACAGAAAAATCCTATGATTGAGACCAAAAACATGTTTGATTTATCAGACTTAGAAAAAAGAAAGTAAGTTGATTTGGATCCTGGCTTTAGAATGCCAGTTTTTAAAAGATGGTGTTGCTGAGTAACCTAGATCAATTTAACATCAATTTAGGAAGCATTATCCTGTTGAGTGGGATGAGAATGGCTTGGGAAACCTAGGGCGTGAAAGGGGAAGGACAGTGATAGAGCTAACAAGCATTGGGACAACTTGTGTTATGTTTGCTACCACTGAATAAAGAAATGCAGAAGATAAAAAGAGATCAAGTATGTACATAAATAACTACATGGATAGTGAGACTATGTTAAAACCATATATACAAATGTCTAACTATAGATGGATAATCTTTAGATGTAGGTATCTTTATATATATAATTGTGTATGGATGATAACAAATTAGCAAGAATGTCTTGTCTCTTAAACTGAACTCTGCTGAAATGATTCCAGACACATGTCTAGGTTATTTCTGAAGATCTCTAGGGAAACAGATATGACAGCCTCTTAGTATTTTTAAATGATAATGCTCTCAGGCAATGCTAAGGGCGCAATCAACCTCCACTTCAACATTTAGCAACTGTATAACATTAGACACATCTTTTACCCTTCTAAACCTCAGTTTCCATTTCTGTAAAGTGGGTATAAAAATAATACCTATCTTGTGGAATTGTTGAAAGAGTTGTGTGCCAAGCCCTCAGCTGTGGTACCTGCCTATTAATGGGCACTCTGTAGATGTTAACTATTGTTATTATGACTTCAGGTAGCAGAATGAAATATTCCATCAATCCATGAATTATTTAAGTGTTTCCATGCTTTATGAAAATCTCCATAAGGGATCTGGCAGAACACTTTGAAAGACTTGTGCTGGTAATTACTCAAAGTCCTATTTCACTATTGCCAATTCAGGTGCTCAGGTATGAATGGAAAGATTGTTTACCATGCCTGTCATTATTATACTTCTTATTCTTCTTGTTCTAGCTTCCAAAGTTGCCTAGTTCCCTACAGAAATGAGCCAAAATCAAAAGGAAATCAGTAGAGGCTGATGTCCTAGATACAAGACCCTAAGAGCACAGCAGTTTATAGAAAGTTAGATATTAAGCTGTGGCCTTTGGCTTCCCTTCCAATACAACAATCTCCTGTTGATTGAATGTGTGAAGAACTTTGCAGTTTTTTTGTTAGATTTGGGTTTCTTTTACCCTGTGCTCTTTCTGCATGAAATGATGACATTTCAGCATGGTGGTTGCATAGATTGGTGGCATATTTTTAAGCACTTCAACAGTGTTGATAGCAGCCTGTCTTTGGGAGGAATTGCCCTTCTCAAGGGGCATACTTATAGTGGCCACAAGCTCATGAGTTCCTCCTTTCAGATCAACTGATGCTTGTGTGTGTGTGTGTGTGTGTGTGTGTGTGTGTGTGTACGCGCGTGCGCGCACGTGCGCACATGCATGCATACATGAGTGTTTATATGTGTGTGCATGCATGCACTCATGGTTGTGTTTTGCAGGAGATTGAACCTGGGGCCTTTTGCATGCTAGGCAAATGCTCTACCACTCAGCTACATTCTCAGCCCTGGACAGAGTAATGGTTGACAAGATTGGCAGGCCTGGGCTTTTAACTGTTGCCTCTCACATGGAGCGAGAGTCCTACTGATCACAGAGACCTCCCACCACCTGCCTGTCTACACTTCATCACCCCCCACACACACACCCTCTGCACTATGGCCTAACAGTGTGATCTGTACACAGGTGTCCAGGAGGCTGTGGTGAGCTGCCTGAACAAACAGACTCGGGAGCTTGCCGATGAGAACCTGTGCGTGACCAGCCGCCGGCCCCCACAGCTCCTGAAATCCTGCAATTTGGATCCTTGCCCAGCAAGGTAAGGGACATGTTGCCGGCCCTGCCAGCCAGGAGTGTGTGCAGAACTGGGTGCATCTTTCCATGGGCAAGACCAGAACCCTTATTGTTACCCAATGTTTTGAAAACCAATTAGCATCAGTTCAAACTTTCAGTCAAATCCACTTAAATTTAATTGAAACCAGGGCTTTGGAATTCCAGCCCAATCAATGGTCATGCACAGAGTCCAGAAGGCTTCATGCACTGAAGCGAGCCTTATGGCATGGCTGGTATGTGCACGTGCCACATTGTTGCTTTCCCCTAAAGGCAAAGTGAACTGACCACAGACTTCATAGATTCTGTCGCCTTTTAGCCTGTGTCCTAAGCCCTCTTACCATAGTAATGAATTGACTTGTGACTTGTAGGGTCTAAGGAACTGAAGCATCTGGGTGGTATAATTGACCCACTGTGAAATCTGTAGGCCCACAGCATGCAGATTCATTATAGCACGCTCTGGGGTGTGTGTGTTCATTCCACATGCGTAAAATCAATTAGAGCATTTCATTGTTTGGCCCTGCCTGGGTCTCATTATTGCCCAACTTTGAGTCTTAGTTAATCAATCCAATCACTGCTTCAGTCCACACAATTTTATGGTGTCTGGAGAAATTTGCCTTTTAGATACTTCTTTTTGAGCAACTATCCTCTATGATTCTGCTTTGGAGACATTTAAAGAACCAAAGCCAGACTTTCAAATCCGCTGATGGAATGAAGAATGTGCCTGGATGAGCTCATAGCCTAGATATGAAAGGAATGCTATTTCTGAGTGACGTTTCTCCTCCTTCTGCAAGGTATATCATGAGAAGCAGAATTTGCTTTCAGGCTTTAACAACAGTTTGCTGGTTAAGCCTGTATGCTTCTTGTCTTATTTCTCATCCAGCTAGAGGCCTTTCTTTGTGACTTCAAAGAGACAGATCACAGGCCTTTATCAATCATATGGGGACACACTCCCATAGTGACACTTCTGCGCATCATCAGAATTGTTCAATTTTTCATCAGAATGGTGGTCCTGGGCTTTCCCCTTCAAATACAAAAGTGTAGAGAGCCACTCATGCCACACTGTCCATGGCAACCAGAAAGCAGCCACTTCTTTGAGCAGGATCCCCTTCCCCACCAAAAGAACAGCAACCAGTGAAACAGAGTCAGGGCTTGACCAAGCAAAGCTCAGATCCAGTACATGGAATCCTAAGTAATCTCCTTTTCTATCACCGCCCTCATGTGGTCCCAAATCTCTCCTAACCTAATAGCTCCTAGTTTAGTGAGCCCAAGATTCAAGTGCTTGAGCGAAGGGTGCAGACTTTTCTATTTGAATACAGTGGAGTAGATCCAACATGGACAGCCTGCAAGGCCGTTGGCTAGGAGGTCAGGAGGCCTGGCTTATCACCTTCTTCTGTCACCAACTAGCTGTGTGGTGCTCTCTCTTTCCACATTTATGTTGTAAAGATGATCTGAGGTCACCATGTCCTGCTCAAGGATCCCATGATTCTTCAATTTTCTGTAAGCAGAAGTATCAGATCACTACTCCTGCTTCATTGTGCTGATAATGGCTATCATTTCTGTCCTTATTTATCATCACTTAAAAAACAAGAAGGGTCTTTTCTAACCTCATTCCAGTGCTGTGGTAACATCCAAATGCTGTGATGAGCTGAGATGTTGCCAAGGAGTTGGTGCCAAGGACTAGTTGAAAACTCCTGGGGTTTGTGACCACTCACCTGCTCCTTCCTTGTTCAATAAAAGGAATATAACAGAAAGTGTTATTTCCCATCCTCAAAGTACTGACTGTGATTGATAAGTCTAATTCACTCTGTGAGCTTCTTATTGACTCAAGGACCATTGTTGGGTTAGCAGGATTATGTTCTAAATAATCTTTGATTTCCTATCACCCAGCTATGGTAAGACCTCTCAATGGCCACAGATTTCTTGGGTTACTGTACACAGGCAAGTATCTGTAGAATGATGCTAATTAAAACATTAAGGTGGGCAAAGTAGAGCAATCAGATAGGACTCATTCTCTTCATTTCCCACCTGAGAGCCAAAGTTGATTTTCATCTTAAAAGTGAAAAATATATAGGCACCTCTCCTATGGAATATTTTAGTCTAATATCAGGGGAAAAAAATCTGTCTTTCTACTCTCCTTGGTGCAAGATTTATGCAAAAAGGGAAATGTGTTTGATAGAGGCCTAATAGCGCACCATTTATTCCATGCACCTTCCATCCAGTGGGGAATGATTTAGATCTTTGAATCACAATTCTTGTTCCACATGGTTCAGTGTTTCCTCTGCAAATTGGTGTGTCTTCTAATGAGTCCTAACTTTATGTATGTGATCTTTTAGGTTCTTGGTCTGTGTTGATATCCATGTGTTTTAAAAAGAAAGAATAGCATTTTGGGGGGGACATTTAGAAATGTTGCAGGTCTTGACTTTTGCCTCTGAAGTGGTGCTAGGTGAAGATAAGACCCTTCCTGGCAGTTATTAGTCCTGCTGAGCACTAGTGAAGAAGCCATTTTACCTCTTGCATATGGCCAGAGTTATCTGATCCTAAGGAGTGTATCAAGGACTCTGAAGAGTGAAATCTGACTTTTGGAGCTGTATTTCTAAAATTAAACTTGACTTCTCCTGACTCTGTGTGGTCAAAGCTTGTATCAGAAGCACATGTCTGACTTTCACCAGGCTTAGGCAATGACATCGTCCTATCTGGTTATGCACAGCAGGAAGGATGTGTTCTCAAGCTGGAAGGATTCTACTTTTTCCAGTCTGTGAGTATGTATAGACGTGCGCATGTGTGTGCACCTGAGTAAGGCTTACATTTTTAGGGTAATTTTTTAAGTAGTGATTTTCTGTTGAAAAAGACTAGATTTGAAAGTCTTTGGTATCAATTTTATGCCTTGTTCCTCCTTTCTCTATCCCAAGCATCTGGGAATTGACATATAGCAGGTGTTTATTAAGTATTTATTTAATAAGTGTATAGGAAGGACTAGGGCCATATTTGTAAGTTGCAATGTTTAGGCCCTATTATTATCAGTAGCTGGAAGACCTCAGCGCTCTATCTCCTATTCATCCCCCTTTTCTCTCCTCTTCCACTTGATGCTGAAAATACCATTTTTGGACTCCTTTCCTTTATGCCTTTAAATGCCAAACATATAAATATCAAATATTGAAATACCAAAAAAATAAATTGTCTTAGGATTATAAGCTTTTATGTTATCAACCATGTACAGCAAAGTATCCCCAAAGCAAGCATATAAAGGCAACAGAAGGGAGAGCCCTAAAGGTTGAGGAAATTGCTGGCACTACCCAGAGATGAGTGTAATTGTCAAGAAGGATGAAAGGTCCTGGGTGAAGGGTAGATGGTAATATCTTCACGACCTTGCCTAACATTGGCCATAAAAAATTAGGACCACTTTGCCTGTGAATCACCAATGAGAATTTTCCTTTAAAGTTGATGGCAAGGAGTTATCAATACAAGGAGGGGAAAAAAATCACCTGTGCACCTTTACCACTGTCTGAGGACTTTGTGTCCAGAAGCCACACCACCTTTCCAGCCTTTCAGTGGTGCCTTAGACAGGCTCAGGGAAGAAATACCCCTAAACAATTTAAGATCCATCATTGGGAAAGAAGACATCCCCTGTTCCTAATCAAAAAGTTATCTAAGTATTCTAATTATTAATTATACAGGTAACACATAAAGAAACTGATTGGTTAAAACTCAAGTAGAGCAGGATTAATCAAAAAAGCAAGGTATATGCTCCTCTTTTACCTCCATACTTTAGGTTCTAGTTCTTTCCTCTCCAGAGGTAACCACTGCTAATGGCTTGGTGCGTGTACTTTAGGGGGGTTTCTGTGAATACATACATGAGCATCTAAAAATACATAAGGTTTTGTACCTGTATCAATGAGGCTTTTATAAATGAGATCTCATTGCATGTATTGTCCAGCAACCTGATTTTTTTTTTAACTCAATACTGTTCACTAAAGATTTTTCACATCTCTGGGATTCTCAAAATACAAATACTAGAACATACATTTAGACCCAGGATCAAGTCCTACTCTGTCACTTTTAGCTGTCTAACCTTTAAGACGTCATATATACCTTTTTGGATACTCACTTTCCTCATCTTTAAAATAGGATTATAGCAGTCACTATAATCATTAATATCATTATAATCATCAATCAAGCAATCATTGTCTTCTCCTTTTCTTTCATTTTTTTTTGTGTGTGAAACACTTCTAGTTTAAAAGAAAGCATGATTTTTGTAGACTTTTAAGACCCAAATTTGATGTTGTTTTTATTTGACTAACTTTTATTAATTACACTCGCTAACTATCTCCCTGGTTTATAACAGCAGTGACATGAGCAGCCCAAGGAAAACCAGAAAGCACTACCTTTAAAAAAAAGTGCATGGCTGTTATTAATTATAAGCATTTGATAGCTTGGCCAGCGTGTGTTGAAAAGATTTGGTAAATGTATGTGGAGGAGGGGAGCAGAGTAAGCAATGAGAGCCAGATGGCTGAAAATGAAGGAAATTCCAGGCAATTTCTGCAGCTTTGTTCTAACATACTTTTTAAACTAAACTTTTATTTCTGTGCAACAGAGAACAGCTGAGTGGTACAGAATAGATAAACAGTGAGGAGAGACGAAAAGCCCCTAATTCCAGGAACGGTGCTTGGTTTCTGCCCTCTTCCCCACCCCATCTCAGTCTCTTTGCTCAGACCTAGGATGGTTCTTACAACAAGCAAGAATCATAAAAGAAGCCTGAGAATCCCTATTTGGAAAAAAATAAAGAGAGTTCAGAAAAACTTCTTAAAGGTCAGAGTCTCCTCTTTAAAAGCATTCTTCAGAATGCCCGTTTTATTGTACACTAACAAAAGCCATACATACTAGCAGCACACGATTTCCAATTTCCAATTTTTTTATATTAACTTAAAATAGCCAGAGCAGAAGGTGTTGCCTTTTAAAACAAACACATTTTCATTTGGTTGATGGAGG